ACATTACTCCAAGGTCAACCATCCTTGATTCCTTTTCACTCTGCCTAGAATCTTTGCTGCAGCCAGAATAACTTTCTCATGCTTGTGACTTGGCTCACTCTTATTTTTAGTCTTTTGTGTTAGTACCCTCCTTGAAATGACCTTCTGGCTCCTCTCAGCCAAACCCCATACTCTTTTAAATTGCTCAATGTTCATATGGTCCAGGAATTGGCAGAATGAAATGTGGTCAAGTGATTCACCCCAGCCTAGCTTCCGGGCTCTTCCAGTGAGGCTTATTAGTCCCCACTTTCACATATTTCCATGCTATAATTTCCTGTAACTTTTATATATATATATTTTATTTTTTTCTCTTTATCAGATGAGACTATAAAGTTCTACTTCTTGGGGTTACATTGAGGACAGCCAGGATCAGAGAGGCTGTCATTTGCCCCAAGCCACATAATTAATACATGACCAATTTTAAACAGGTAGACAATTCTTTGGTCTTTTAGTTCATTTTCACATAGTGGGGAAATGATGAGTAATGCTGACTGATTGGCTGGGAAACTGTGAGGGAATTTCAGGCATGGAGAGGCAGCTTTGGAAGGAGTAACAAGCAGATGAAGAGCATGGAGTGTGAGGAGAGAGATGGAGTCAGGGCTGAGGAGGGCAAGAAAGGGAGACAGGAAGCCTAGAGGAGTAATAGTCTTACTCCAACCATTTCACCTCAAAAGAAAAACAAACAAATAAACAAACTAAATAACAAGAAAACATTTCTGCTTTGCTTCTATTTTGTGCTTGATAAATAACACTACTACCACTGCCAATGAAAAACATAGCAACATAACTGGGCTTCTCTCTCAACATTAACTCTAAACAGTCTACTGGATTTGGTTCAAAACTGTAAACTGCCAGCATGTTAAAAATAAAAACAGAAAAACAAACCTGGCCTCTTCTGTAAGGGTTGTGAGGGTGAATGCAGGGTAAAGTCACAGAGAAGAGATACAACAACAACAAAAAAATAATAACTAGTGCAAACATCCTGGAACTGATGTTTTCTATAAAAATCTAATGGCTGTGAACTGGAAAGAGTGAAGTGGGGAGGGAGAAAGGAATGGGGATCAAGTGGTGTCTGCTTATCGTCAGCTAGCTTTCATGTAAAAGTCATGGCAGGGTCAGAAACAAACTAGCCAGGTGGCAACTCCAGGCCATGCTGCCATAAATAAATAGTTATGTACTAATGTCACACAACCAGAGTTAGATGCAAAGCATATGGGAAAAGAACATACTGATGTAAATATTCAGCATAACAACTATGGTTGCTGAATTCCATTTCCACTGTTGATACATACTAGACATTGGGACTCCTAGGAAAATAAAATTGTGAGGCTTCTTAAAAAACTATACTAAAAGGTTCTTTGAAATGTAGAATATTTCCTTAAAAACAATCCTCCCCTTTGAAGAATATAACAAGCCGAGGTTGTAATTAAGCTTTACTGAGAATCAGCAAGAATACAGACTCTGGAACACAACATGAGGAGTTTAAACCCTAGCCATGCTACTTACTAGTTCAAATGACCAGTAGGACTTTGCCTAATCTTTCCATGCCTCAGTTTACTCACCTGTATAGAACAGAGGAGGATGATAATGGTAACAGCACCTGTCTCATAGGAATGTCTTATAGCACCATGTCCATGTGATCTACTATTACCAAGCCCTGGTGGCACAATAGTTAAGTGCTCTGGCTCTTAACCCAAAGGTCAGCAGTTCTGGTTTGAACTCACTAGCTGCTGTGTGGGAGAAAAATGTGGCTTTCTGCTTCTGTAAATATTTACAGCCTTGGAAACCTTATGGGGAAATTCTTCCCTGTCCTATAGTGTCACTATGAGTCAAAATCTACTTGATGGCGATGAGTATTTATTTTACATAGACTACCTGCTGGATTTTCTGCTTAGTAACCTTTATTTGTACTATCCTATTTAATCTTAAAAACAACCTCATGAGGTCTTAAAAGCTTGGGAGTGACCACCTGAGACACAAGTCCAAGGCTCTACCTGCCAGGAGCAAAACAGTAAGAAGGTAACCAGAGCTCAGAGAAGAAACAAGAATACACGAGCCATAGCCTCATGTACCCTGAGACTAGAAAAGTCACCACCATTTGGCTACCACCACTGACCATCCTTGCCAAGGTCACAAGAGATGTTCCCAGACAGAATGGGAGAAAAATGTGGAACAGAATTCAAATTCTTATTGAAAAAAAAAAAAAGTCAGACAAATTGGAACAGTAGAGAACAGAGGACTCTCTGAAACGATCTCCCTGAGATGCTCTTTAAACCTACAACCAAACCTATCCCAAGATCACATATTAGTGAAATAGCAGAGTGGCACACAAAATAAAGGATTTTACCAATAAGTTCAGTGCTCTACTTAAAAACCATCAGTATGAGACCAAAAGGTCAGTAATCATTCAAAAGCAAAGATGAAGACATAAGAGGCCACGGAAACTAGAGTATTGGAAATGGAACAAACAGAACATAATTAAAGAGAATGTTGGCATATTGTGATAAATGTAACTAAAGTCATTGAAAAATTCGTGTAGAAATCGACAAATAGGAGCCTAACTTGCTGTGTAAACTTTCGGCAAAACCTCAATAAAATATTTTTAAAAAACCGAACCACAAAACCATGATTTAAAAATTAATTTTACAAAGGACCTAAGGTTTTGATGGATTAAGGAATTTATCCAAGATGGTATATCTAAACTAAACTTCTGACTTGTTCCAGATGATACATTTTTAACCACTCATGTTATATTTGTTGTTAGGTGCCATTGAGTCTGTTTTGACCCATAATGACCCCATGTACAACATAACAAAACACTGCCCAGTCCTGCACCATCCTCACAACCATTGTTATGCTTGACTCCATTGTTGCAGCCACTGTGTCAGTCTGTCTTGTTGAGGATCTTCCTCTTTTTCATTGACCCTCTCTTTTATCTGATAATATGTCTAAAGCACATGAGATGAAGTCTCACCATTCTCATTTCTAAGGAGTACTCTGGCTATATTTCTTTCAGAAAGATTTGTTGGTTCTTCTGGCAGTCCATAGTATATTCAATACTCTTTGCCAGCACCATAATTCAAATACATCAGTTCTTCTTTGTTTTTCCTTATTCACTGGCCAGCTTTTGCATGCATATGAGGCTATTGAAAAATGCCATGGCTTGCGTCAGGCACCTCCTAGATCTCAAAGTGACATTTTTCATTTTTAACACTTTTGAGAGGATTTTTGAAGTAGATTTGCCCAATGCAATATGTTGTTTCATTTCTTGACTGCTGCTTCCATGGGCATTGATTGTAATCCAAGTAAAATGAAATCTTTGACAACTTAAATCTCTTGCCCATTTATCATAATGTTGCTTATTGGTTCAGTTGTGAGGATTTTTGTTTTCTTTCAACTGAGATGTAATCCACACTTTTAAGCTTAGATCTTCATCAGTAAGTACTTCAAATCTTCTATACTTTTAGTAAGCAAAAGTATAGAAGATTATGCCATATAAGCAGAAAAGGTGATGTCATCTACATATTGTGGGTAGTTAAATGAGTCTTCCTCCAATCCTGATGCTCCGTTCTTCTTCATACAGTACAGCTTCTCAAATTATTTGCTCAGCATACAGACTGAATAAAAACGGTGAGAAGATACAACCCTGATGCACACTTTTCCTGATTTTGAACCATGCAGTATCCTGTTGTTTTGTTCTAGTGACTGACTGCCTCTTGGTCTATGTATAGGTTCCACATGAGCACAATTAAGTGCTCTCAAATTTAAATGTCCCTGCTTGGTAGGGTGGAGGGTCGACGAAAGAGGGGGAGGCCTTCAACGAGATGGATTGATACAGTGGCTGCGATGATGGGCTCGAGTATAGCAGGGATTGTGGGGCTGGTGCGGGATCGGGCAGTGTTTCCTTCTGCTGTGCATGGGGTCGCTATGAGTCGGAAACGACTCGACGGCACTTAACAACAACAACAAAATCTGAGCACTTTTTCTTTCATTTGGCTAAAATGTCCAATTTGAAGAAAAGAAACACAATGTATAGTCTCCTAAGAGAAAAGCAGATTTTTAAAAAGTAATTAAAGGCAGGGCTGATGTCCCAGTAAGGAGCCTTGGTAGCTAGCCCAAAGGTCTGAACCCACCAGCTGCTCCATAGGAGAAAGATGTGGCAGTATGCTTCCCTAAAGATTTACAGTCCTGGGACCGCTATGGGTCAGTTTTACTCTGTCCTTACAGGTTGTTATGAGTCTGAATGACTGACTCGCAATGCTTTTTTTTTTTTTTTTTTTTTTAATGTCCCAGTGAATTGCCATAGAATTGTGATCCGTTTTCAGCACATACAGGAAACAAAATATTAATTCATCCACCGAGTAATTCTCTAAATATTTATTGAACGTCCACTATTTTCTAAGAGTTGGGGCTACAAAGACGAGTAAGGAACAATTTCAGCCCTCGAGCAGCTAACTGTACGAAGAGTGACCTTCCTTACTGCCGGCTGTTTTTCAAGTCTGTAGCAGCAGAAGTTTCAGGACTCCTTTCAGCCCAAACCAAGCTGTATATTTACAGTTATCATAGTCAGTTTTACTGCTCGGCTTCAGCTTTCAAAGTGGGAAGAGACTGGTGGAATGAAGACATTGTTTCTTTATAGACTAGTCTCCGCTAGAATGTGCGCTAAAACGGGAGGGTTGGAAGCGTATTCAAATAGCGCGCTCTGGCAGTGGCTTTTCGAAACTCAGGGTTGAGGATCGCGGGGCAAGGGTGCTCCTAATCTCCTGGTGTGTTCGCCAGGTTTCTCTCCTTTGTAGTAAGTAGTGGGAAGGGTGCAAACTTCACGAGTATCCCAGGTGGACGCTACCTGGAGTACCTGCCCGCTGGGACAGGCGTTCACTGCACCGGCTGTCGCTACTTCCTGGTTAGTTTGCCCTTAACTGACATGGTGGCGATTTGCCTTCGGCCGGACCCACTGCGGCTGCTCAGAAAGCCAAGACAGGGCAATCTGTTCTACAGTCCGCCTCTGCTGCTGAGCTGCAGGGTGTAGCCTGGGACGCGGCGTGGGTCGGTACCAGCAGTGCAGCTAGGGGTGAAGGGGGCATAGAAACAGGCCACGGAAGACCAGGATCCAGGGTCGTGCCGCTGTGTGATCACCCACTATCCCCTGGCACCAAGGCTGTTCGAGCCCCAGGGTGTTTTTTCCTTGTCCCCGCCACCTCCGGGTCCCTGGCCCAACATGATATTGACTAAAGCCCAGTACGACGAGATAGCCCAGTGCTTAGTGTCTGTGCCGCCTACCAGGCAGAGCCTGAGGAAGCTGAAGCAGAGGTTCCCCAGGTAAGTGCCCCTCTCTCCTTTTTCACAGCTCCTTGACTGCAGTGGCTGTGCCTGGGAAGCCCAGCCGTCGCTCAGAAACCACGTGTCACAACACGAGTGGGGAGGAACATATGTCAGGCATTAGATCAAGTATGGAAAAAAAAAAAAACCCGTTTTTCTTTCACTTACCTTCCTCATGAAATTCTTAATGGATAAGTCCCTTGCAACCTCCCAAGGCCTTGCAATTAAATTCAAGTAAAAACATGTTTATCGAAAACTTGCTATGTGGTAGGTGAGAGGTGCACGTAGTAGGAGTTTCTTAACTGTTCATGAGTTAATTGACAGATGCAAGGAATGATTAGTATGGGACAGGGCCCTATCAAAGTGGAAACAAACAAGGGAGCACCGTCCTAAAGGAGCTTCCTACTCTGGCGTAGTGCCTAAGGCATTTGACTGCTAACCTGAAGGCTGGCAGTTGAAACCCACCAGCCACTCCTTGGAAAGAAGATTGGGCAATCTACTTCCATAGAGATACCTCCTCGGAAAACCAAGGTGGGGTAGCTATGAGGCCAACCGACTGGAGGGCAGTGAGTTTGGTTTGGTTTTTGGTACTATTGATTATGACCCTCAAATGGGAGCTCGGTGGCGTAGTGCCTAAGGCATTTAACTGCTAGCCAGAAGGCTGGCGGTTCAAACCCGATGCGGGAGGGGGCGATTTCACTTTCCGTGGCTTTATTTCCCCATGATCAAGCAGGTAAATTTTTAAATAATAAACAAATTATAAGTTTTAAATTGCGTGTGTTCTGTGTAGCGCGATGAAATCTCACCCAGTCCTGCTCCATAACCATCCCTTTGTCCAACATATCCACACTATATGTGCCAGCTGCCCATTAGTCCCTTAGAAGTTCGCAGATCCGCTTTCTTGGTTATCAGATCTACTGTCACGTTATGGCAGTGTTTGTGTTCAAGTAACCCTATTTTGATTAATAATCGTTCTATTTTATTATTAGTTATTGTTGTTAATCTCTTACTATGCCTAATTTATAAAGTTTATAAATTAAACTTTATCACTGGTATGTATGCATAGGAACACCAGCCCCCCCGCCCCAGTATTTATAGGGTTCGGAATCCCCTGGTGGTGTAATGCCTAAGGGATTTGGCTGCTAACCAGAAGGCTGGCGGTTCAAACTCACCAGCCACTCCTGGGAAGGAAGGTTGGGCAATCCTACTTCCGTAGTGATACTGCCTCGGAAACTCAAGGAGGGGTTGCTATGAGTTGGGGCCTACTCAACCGCACATAACAACAACAACATGAGTTGGAATGGACTGGATGGCAGTGAGCTGTTTTTTTTTTTTTTTTTTTTTACTGTTTTACCTTAGATGATATAGCTCCATCATTGCAGAGAACTTAAACAACCTTTAGATTTGATAGTTCATTAGACCAGAGAGTCAGTCTTTAAAGATTTCAAAGATAATTTCTGACAGTTCAAAGAAGTTAAGTGACTGTCAAAAATCTCAGGGATGTTTAATGGCCAAACAATATCTAGACTATAGGTTTCTTGATTCTCAGTTTAGAATTCGATGTTAAACTGTATTCTCTGGGAGCTCTGGTGGCCTAGTGCCTAAGGCATGTGACTGTTAACCAGAAGGCTGGAGTTCAAACCCATCAGCCACTCCTCAGAAGGAAGATTGGGTAATCTACTTCTGTAGAGAAACCCAAGGAGGGGTCACTATGAGTGAAATTAACTCAATTTTAGTTTAATAATAACACTATTGACAGTAATTTTTTTGTGTGGGTGGCAGTCACATATGTTGAGTTCCAAAAAAATCCAAATACTGAAAGTTCTGTTAACATTTTATATATTTCTTTTAGAACTTTGTTTTTAGTACAAGACTTTTTCTGTCAGTATAGCTTGTTCATCTCCTTTTTTTGTTGCTGTTATTGAGCATACTGTGAGCATTTCTTTAAAATTCTTTGGAATTTGTTTAGAATAACCAATAATATTCAGGATATACCATCATTTATTTCTCCATTTCTTATTGTTGCGCAACAAAGGCTTATTTATTTATTTATGGATATATAATTTACTTTTGCACATATATAATGCCAAGTCTTAACTGATTTTCTTAGTTCAGATTCCCAGAGGTTGAAAATAACCATATCAGCAGTTTTCAGACTTTTTGTTCTTTAGATCTCTTTATACTCTAAAAAAAATATTGAGGACTTTAAAGAACTTTCATGTATATGGATTATATCTGTTAATATTTGCCAAAATATAAATTAAAACTGAGAAATTTTAAAAAATATTTATTAGTTTATTAAAACAAATTAACGCCATTACATGTTAACATACTTTTATGAAAATAACCACAATTTCAAAAAAGAGTGAGAAAATGGTATTATTTTATATTTTTGCAAATCTTACTACTGTCTGCCTTACTAGAAGACGTATCTGCTTCTGCATTCAACCTGTTGATACGTTGTTTTGATTAAAGTATATAAGAAAATGTGGCCACTGACAGATACATACTTGGAAAAGGCAAGAGTAATTTAATAGACTTTTCAGGTAATTACGGATATTTTTGTTAGTACACAAAACCTGACAAGTGGCTGTTTCTTAAAGGTTAATTGCAATGTGGGATCTGAAACCTATCAAGGAGTTTTCACCCTGTTACGTTACAATCCATTGGCCTGTCTTGAACTTTGAGGGTATCTTTTACCCATGTGTGCTGATCTGTTATCATTATGCATTGTTCATTTGGAAATTGTTGGTTATGAGTTATGCAAATCTTCCAAATATTGTCACCTTTCATTGTACAATATCAAAAAATCACATTTGTTAATAGCACTACTGATCTCATCAGAAAAGTCTGTAAGATTTGAAGCTGTCAAGTTTATGGTGACAGGAGTTTTCCAGTATTTGAAATTTCCCTTGAAAGCTCAAATTTTATCATTGGCAACAAATGCTATCGGTTGTTTTGTTTGAAGTGACAGGCTCACTTTGTTTATTTTTTGATACAGTCTGCCAGATACCCAGATCTGATCAATCATACTTCCTGAGTCATTCATTCAAGTAAAATGGTATTCCGTGGAAAGCACGGCTAGTTCAGCTCTCAAAAATCCACACAAGTGCTTTCTATGAAACAACCCTCATACTTTCATTTGCAGTAAGGAGTTCTGGTAGCATAGTGCCTAAGGCACCTGACTGCTAACCAGAAGGCAGGTGGTTCAAACCCACCAGCCACTCCTCAGAAGTAAGGTTGGGTAATCTACTTCCATAGTGTTACTGCCTCGGAAACCCAAGGAGGGGTCTCTATGAGTCAGTCCAACTCGATGGCAAACAACATGTTTATGTTAAGGAGCTCTGGTGGCATGGTGCCTAAAGCATTTGTCTGCTAACCAGAAGGCTGGCGATACAAACCTACCACCCATTCCGTGGGAAGAAGATGGTGCAATCTTCTTCCATAAAGATTTACCTCCTCGGAAACCCAATGGGGGTCACTGTGAATTGGAACCGACTTAATGGCAGTGAGTTTGGTGAGTTTTTTATGCTTTACTTACTTCCTATTTTGCCATATAGAACATTAAACGGGTATATATTCAATGGCTGAGATTTCATAAAATTAATAAGTGAATCTTAAGTGCAGCTGACATTCTCCCCCTCCCCCCGTGTGTGGTGGTGAAGAATATAGTGACCACTAGGAAAGTTTGGTGTCCCTACCTTGACTTGGGCTCAAAAGCCAACAGTTTTACCTGCCATTGGTTTAGCACCAGCAGTACAGATGTCAACCGAAGGAAAAAGGCAAATAATGTGTAACTATGGAGGAAAAAAAAAGTTTTGACCTCATAGACCCTTGAGATGGTCTCAGGGACTCTACAGGTCCTCTAGACACACTTTGAAACAATAGATGAAATCAAAGAGTGTTTATGTTTTGAAGGACTTTGATTGTGTATTGACAAAGTACTATCTAAAAGTTTATATAAATTCTATTGCCAGCAGGGCAGGGGAGTGAGTATCTTTCTTTGCACTTTTGCCAGCACTGAGGAGAGACATTATTTAATATTTAATATGATGGGATAATAATGACATTGCACAATTTGTGTTTTATGATTATAATAACACTGGACATTTTTCTAAATGCATATTGACCATTTAATTTTCTTCTCTTTGAATTACCTGCGTGATCTCTTTTGCCTAATTTCCTGTTGGAGGGTTTGCTGTTAAGGTTTATTGATTTGTTATTGTTTATTGATCTCTGTGTTAAGGTTATCCATCTTTTATATATCATACTGCAGGTATTTGTCATTTTTTGTTTTTTAAGTGTTGTATTTGTGATATGTGTAACATTTATATTTAGCTCTATTAAATTATTTTTGCCTTTATGCTTAGAAAGGCCTTTGCTCTCCTAAGATATGAAAAGTAAATCTGTAACCTAAAATTTCCTCTAGGTTTTTTTATGCCTTCTCAAGCATAAGAAGTCTTAATTCTTTCTTCTTATTGAAATTTATTTTAGGATAGAATGAAAAGTGAAGATGTAACTTACTTTTTTTTTCCCCAGCTTGATTTTTATCTTTAACTGTGGATTCCCCTGCTAGCCTCACTCCTTCATGGCTTCTTTGTTTTCACTGAAATCAGAGATTTGTGTCTTTTCAGGTCCCTACATTGAACCTGGTCATTCCTCCTAATGGCTATAGTCTGAGATCCTTCAATTTAAAACAAAGGAGTAGGACTTTTTGATTTCTAATACCTTATATGAGTCCCTGTTTTTGTTGTTAGGCACCGTCAAGTCAGCTCCAACTTATGGAGACCCTATGTACAACAGAACAGAACCCTTCTTGGTCCTGTGCCAGCCCCACAATCCCTGCTATATATATGTTGTTGTTGTTGTTGTTATGTGCCGTCGAGTCGGCCCCGACTCATAGCGACCCCTCCTTGGGTTTCTAAGGCAGTATCACTACGGAAGTAGGATTGCCCAACCTTCCTTCCGAGGAGTGGCTGGGGGTTTGAACCACCAGCCGT